GAGAAAAGCTCAGCCAGCCATGTTTGTAGCCCTCCAAGTTCTAGAAGGAAAGTCAGCGTTCTTGAAGTACAGCGCATTCCTGAGGTTGCAAGTGGAATCATTGGCACTAAAACTGTCAGTGAGAAATACGAAGAGATAGACTGCTTTGGGAATACTTACTTCTCTTCCAAAAGATCTACATTTGTTACCAGGCAGCCCGAGAGTGAATTATCTGCCTCATATGATATAATTACAAATCCAGGGAGATATGAAGAAATGGCTTCACCTGTTTCAAAACGGTCTGGCCAGACCTTCTCCTCAAATTCTTTGTCTAAAAGCAAAGACAGAAAAGTGTTTGTTACTTTCAGTCATCCCAACACAGAAAAACATTAACCTGTCTGCCCATTTTGTTTTGTAGCATTTTTTGGTGATTGTTAGTTCAATATTTCTATTTAAAATACTTATATATTAGTTTTATTGGTACTCATTTTATACGTGTGTACAATAAAGAGTTTTATTGTAATGCTTTAAGAGCAAGGTTTTTTTGTACTGTTGCAATTAAGTGTTAATAAATGTGTTACTCTTAAATACTTGTTTCAAATGCTGTATATTAAAATTATCTCAAATAAAATACTTACAAAGCAGTATTTGTTATCAATTTTAAATTATTATTATTTCTATAAAACACCATGCTATAACAATTTTGACTTTTTTTTCCATAGGAGGTTCTTCATGCTGTGAACATCATGCATAAACTCATATTCCATGTATGTCTATATTGTTGTCATAGTTCCTGTCACCTGCTAAAGAGATGTGCTCTGCGTGCCTGATGCCAGTTTATCCAGTGGAGAAAATGGTGGCAGATAAACTAATCCTACATAGTAACTGTTTCTGCTGCAAACACTGTAATAAAAAGCTAAGGTGAGAGAGGGATATCCCAACTGTCCATTTTGAAATTCCAAAATCATTTTCCTACACATTAGAAGGCAAATCAGTTATAAAATAGTTTTTAGTGTAATCCTGGAACATTTGATCAAATCTGTGATTCATAATGACAATACATGTGAAAATGTGCTAAGTCAAAATATCAAATCAAATACGATCTATAAAAATAAATTCATATTGCATATTTAATTGATTTCATCTAATCACAATTCAAATACAACAACACTTGATTCCCTGGGAAAATTTATATTTTACAGCATATGCTTTAACTTTGAATCTTCACTGGTGTACTATTATTCATTACAGCATTTACAATTACTCTGCTCTTTATGGAGAGTTCTACTGCCCATCACATTACCATCAGTTATTTAAGAAAAAGGGCAACTATGATGAGGGTTTTGGCCACAGACAACACAAAGACCGCTGGCTTGTTAAAACAGAGGAACCTAAACCTACTAACAAATTCAGCTCAGCACATAAAACGGAGCCTACATGTGTTGATGCAACTGTAGATGACCCTAGAGGACCATCATCTCGACAGCAAAGACACAAAGATGATCAATTCAAATGTCCCAACAACATGAACAAGCTTAAAATAAGCTGGCCACCAGAAAACAAGGGGACCCGACATAGCCCTGTATCACAAAATACTTCCTCAGCCTCAAGAAGTACAACAGACTGGTCAAATCACAAGCGTTCTGCTGCACGAAGCTCCAGAAATGCTCTTGAAAAGAAAAGGTTTCATTCTGGGCTGGATGAAATGGACAAATCAGTTCAGCTGTCACCTTGGGCTTATGAGAAGACAAACACATACACCTCTCCCTTCACAATAAAAAGTGCACCCCATTCAGAGGATGTTTATACACCTCATCCAAGAGGTTCAAAAACATTACAGAAGACTGCAGATAGAGCTGGAACACAAAGCAAAGTTTCAACAGGTGGGAAAGTGACAAGCAAATACTTGAATTCTGTTGCTTCAAAACCAGATTCTGTGAGAGAACACAATTTGGCTGAAGATGGGAAATCTGATAGCCCAACGAAAATAAAAAAGTCTGTCCGGTTTGTTTCAGATTTAAATATAGACGAGGAAAATAACACAGAGATCAGCAGTGAAGAAGTTGAACGCTCTACTGATGCTTTTGTTGAACCTGCAGCTGTCAATGGTAGTGTAATGACAACAGATATGACTACTTTTGAATCAGGAGTAGAAATAGAGGAATCACCTGTGGAAGGTTTAATAGACAAAATGCACCATCCATACAGCCATGATTCTGTTGGACATCCCAAAGCTTTAGATGGACAAATGCAGGATCCTTTCCTTCCGACTGTAGGAAAACAGGAAAGTGAAAAAACAAAAGCAAATGAGGCAAATATGAGTGAGATGGAAACAATCCTGAATCTTGATGAACTGCAGATAAATGACATCCCAGCATGTGGTAAAGAAACATTTAAACCAGGTAGTGAATCATGTGATTTGGAGCAGGTTGATGAGATAGAGAAGAAAGAGGTGATTATTGAAAGTAATGCCAAGGCTGTAACCTCCAAAAATCAAGAACCCACAGATATTACTACGGTTGAATCTAAAGTCCCTGACATGTTGGATATGCCTCCAAAATCTGATGATAAAAGCAACACAAAGGTTGCTGACAAAAAGGCCATGGATAAAGGGAATAAAGGGTCTTGGTCTAAAGGTAAAAGCCCTCTTTCCAAACTCTTCACATCTGGTCCAAGTAGGAAAGAGAACAAAAGTGAGACAAAAATGGAAAGCAAAAGATCCGATATCAAACCTAGAAATTTACTGGGCAGACTCTTTTCATCCTCTGAAATAGATTTAGAAATAAAGAAAACACCAGAAATCAAACCTGAAAATACATGTGAGGAGCCAGAGAAAACCGGAGTGACAGTAGATGACACTGCATTGATACAAGAAAATGTTTCTGTATCTCCACCTTCGACTGAGCCCACCTGTCAAAACACACCTCAAGAGCCCATAAAACCAACACAAACCCAACTAAGTGATGCTGCAGAAGAACCAAATCTAATTGAGGGCCTTGAAAATCCCATCCTATTGCATAATGGAAGCTCTGCTGATGAGACTGTGCCATCAATAAACCTTGAGTCAATTGAACAACACAAGCCCGCTTCTGTTGGTTTTGAGGAGATTGATATGAATGAGGCTCTTAGTCCTTCACAAGAACACGTTAATGTAGATCTGACCTCTCTAGACTCTTCAAAACCTTCCGGTCTTGAGGAGAGCCTCAACTCCTCTTTACCTCAGAATGAAGATACCACTGGTTTTCTTGATTCATCTGATGCATTTACATCTCAAGTTTCGGGCCCCAACACAGATGCCATGGCTTTTTCAGGTTCAGATACACTTGATTATACACACAGTGACACATTGACAGACATTATGGATTTGGAAACTCCGTCAGTAGATATAGGGAGCTCCATTATTCAAGAAGACCCATTTGGAGAAGAAGCTCAGGAAGAAAGTGGAGATATGACATCAAGTCCTTCTGTGAATTTTAATCAAAAGGCTCTTGATATTTTTGGTTCGTCAGAGTCAAATATTGAGGCAAACTCATATGGTTTTGGAAACACCTTAACTGAAGTCAATAAAAATGAAGCGGTTGTTTCCTCAGAAATGACCGATGATCCCTTTGGAATGAACAATGCACCAGTCCAAACAATGGATATCTTTGGAGGCGACAATATGCTCACTGTCTTTGATCAATCGTCCACTAATAGTTTCTTTGATATTATGACAAACAGGGAGACTCAAAGTCAAAACCCTTTTGAGGGAATAACAGATGGTCAACTGGCACCAAATGGAGTTTTTGACTTTATAAGTTCTGAAGGTGACCCATCAACACTATCAGTTACTTCAAATGTGTTCCAACAGAAAAGCTCTGACCTTGAACAGGAAAATCTAATTCAAAGTGAGGTTAATCATCTTTTCAATAGTAAAGGCAATCAATCAACCTCTAATGTGCCTGATCAAAACCTTTCTGGCCAAGAGCTAATTGAGTCATCTCAAATGGAAGCTTTTGATTTCTTCAGCTCTGAGAAAGATCCATCTACAGCTGCATTCAGTCACATGAGTGCTGATCCTTTCTCAGTTGACATCTTTGCAAGTGTTATGGACAGCACAGACACAAATACATTCAGTGTAGAAACAACGCAAAGAACTGTAAACCCATTTGACGATTTCACTGGGTTAGAGAGTCACAGTGAGGCTGCAGAGACTAAAGTGAGCAGCTTATTTCCAGATGACATATTTTCATCCGTTCCTGCCATGTCTCCAGAACCAGCACAGGATACCCTCTCCATACTAAATCCAACAAACCCTGACACCAGTGCTGTGCTGCAGCAAAAGCCTGAAAATGACTGGATGTCTGACTTTTTGGGGTAGTGTAGGTGCCATTGTTCATTACACACACAAAAAAAGATTAAAATCTTACATTTAAATAAGCAGGTATATTGATTTGCCTTTGCTGTACTATTCTGTACAATTCACAGATTTTATTACTGACATTTGATTGATTAATTAATCAATGTATATTTAAGTTAAAGTATTCTTACATAATGGGTTACTTTTTTAGATCTGAATAATTAATCAATGTATATTAATACAAGTGTCAATATCTAATGTAGTGTTACTTATAAAAATGTTTTTAGATACAAAAATTTAGTATTTGACAATTCATTGTGATTCTACAGAGGTTGTTCAGTTAAATCAGACTAACTTTTTTGTACTTTGTATTAATAAGTAATATTTTTATGTCTGCTATGACTAATAGTTCTGTGACATAGGGGAAGAATAAATAGATTTATTTAGCAAAGTAGTCTTCATATAATCCACAAAAATATATGCAAGAAAAGTAAATCATTTTCATGTTAATGTTGATCATGAACCAATGTAATGACCATGTTCATCCCAAAAAAAAATTAATAATTGGGTCATAAAAAATAAAACAATAATTCAAATGAGGTTTATTGCATATTATTTTACATATAGAACACTAAATCTGCAAATCTTTTTGGTAAACTGCAGAAATTAAATCTAATTGTTATTTCTACATATCACTACAATGTAAACCGTTAAACAGAATACACTAGCCACAAAGACAAGGTTATAACTTGGTTGCTATGATGTCTTCACAATCTCCAGGTGCAGAGTAAGCCATTTTTGGTTGCCTTTTGAGAAATAGAGGGATGGTGTGTTAGTTTCTCTTGACAAAATATAAAATGTAAAAATGTATAATACTTAAGAGGCTTAATGTGTAACTTAAGTATTACGGAGTCATGCAACTGAATTTAAAACATGTCGACACAGCAAAAATCACTTTCATCAGCAGAATTTCACTAAATATAAGTATTTTTTACCAGTTTTGAAAACTTTTTCAATGTAATAGTACATGTACCTCTTGCCCTCTGCCTCCTCTGTTGAACCAGGCAGCTCAGTGCGTCTGGTCTCAGGAAGCAGGAAGGCCGTTATCCCACTTGCTAGTGCCAGGCTGCCTAACACCAGAGTGGGAATAGTGAAGTGGTAGACCTCCAGCATGTTCACCACAGGAGCCAACATACTTGCGACTCGTGCTGCAGTGGAGCCTAGACCCATGGCTGTCTGACTGGAAATCAACAAGTGGATTATTACATAACTGCATTAAAAACAACAGTCTTATTCATAACTACAGAAAACAACACGGTCATGCTTACCGAATGGAGGTGGGGAAGAGTTCTTGAATATAAACGTTGCAAATACTGCCTGCGCCGTTCATGAGAAATCTTCCACAAGTGGCAAGAGCAGCGACGGCGATGGAATTACCTTAAGAAGAGCATCACATGGTTAAGTGCTGATTCTTTGTATGTTACAGTGTATTACATAAGGAAAAGGTTTTACTTTGTGGAACCGCAAGTGTCAGGAGACAGAGGGACCCTCCTACTATGAGGGCAGCCATCAGAGACACCTTCCTTCCAACCGTTTCCAAAGACCACATGCAGAGGAAGTGGACAGGAATCTCAGAGAGACCGAATATGAGTTGATTGAGAAAAATATCAAGGCCAAACTTCCCCACATTCAGAGAGAGGCTGTAGTACGCTAGGTTTAGCGCACACCTGAATATAAACAATATAGAGGGCCATTCAAGTTTTGATACGAACTGAACCCTGAAAAGTTCAGGGAAAAAAAGTTTGAAAACAAAAGTTTCTCTGTGAATCAACTCACCATGCGAAAGTAATGCTTAAGAAATATTTCCTGAGCACACGGGAAGCAAAAAGGATTTTTATACCTCCCCTTTCAACAGGCTTTTCATTTAGGACCTAACAAAAGATGTTATCCATATTGTGTTATTTAAGAAAAATGGGCCTGTCCATTGGCTGGATGTGTAAGTTAGCGAAATATATCTCCACCTTCTCCACTAATGAGTCTGGAACTGTACGTTTGTTGATCGCCGCTGCCTTCTGAATGAGTTCTTTAGCATCTGTAGTTCTTCCACGAACAAGAAGCCATCTGGCAGACTCTGGAATAAACCTATAATGGTGTGTATATCAAATGATTTCATTCACTTACAAATGCAAAATTACTGAACTGCACTGAAGAACACACATACCATATGTAGATGACCACAAATGCAAGTGGGCCAGCCATTATAAACTGGTCCAGTCTCCAGTCCCTGACATAATAAACAACGGCAAGAAACATGACCTGGCCCAAAGCGGCCAGGACTTGACTCAGACAGGCTGCATAGGATCTCTGAGCGACTCCAATCCACTCTGTGGCTACAGTGAGGATGAAAACATTGTGATAAACACACATTATAGGAATTATAATGATGAAACACAGCTATTCTGTGTTTCACAGTCTCATAATATATAGCCCATGTAATCTTACACAAGACCTTTCAACTGATTTGTTCATGACGCAAAATTAAAGTAAAAATATTCTATGCAGTTTCTAGTAAGTTGATCAGCTATCTGATATTTTACATTGAATATTCAATCTGCTGATAGCCAGTGATGATGCTAAATATTGTCTCATACCAAGGATAATGCTGTTGATCCGAAATCCTCCAAGAGCAATACCAACAATGAACTGTGATGCGAGGTACACATAAAAGTTTGGAGCGAGACCAGTCACGACTGTGAATATTAGCATGAGCACCATAGGTATCTGTGTAGCTCGCTTGCGACCAAACCTTGAGTTCATTTAAACAAAGAGAGAGAGAGAAAGACAAGAGAAAAATATATAATTTACTAGAGAGGACTATTGATGACATCATGCATGAAATGAAATCTTTTCTATATGCTGAATATATGATGTGACTTTATTTTTCATGTCACAGACATCGGATGGAGTACATTTCTATGTAAGTGTCTATTATAATATAAAATAATTTATATATATATTATATATATATACTAGGTGAATACTTTCTACACATACATGACATGAAGCTTGATGTGTGGGGGAACAAAGACAAATCTAAGTAACACTTTGTTTTACAGTGCCCTTTTTAAGCATTACATGTACTAACTATAATGATAACAGTAACTTATGCATAACTACAAACAACTAACCTTAACCCAAATTTTATTATAATATTAAAGGGGTCATATGATGTTGCTAAAAAGAGCATTATTTGATGTATTTGGTGTAATGAAATGTGTTTATGCGGTTTAAGGTTCAAAAGACACATTATTTTCCACATACTGTACATTATTGTTTCTTCTCTATGCCCCGCCTTTCTGAAACGCGTCGATTTTTACAAAGCTCATCGGTCTGAAAAGCGAGGTGTGCTCTGATTGGCCAGCTATCCAGTGCGTTGTGATTGGCCGAATACCTCAAGCGTGTGATGGAAATGTTACACCCCTTACCATATTGTGATGCCCTGTCCGGCCGGAGCGACGATTCAAAAACATGAAAACCCATTATAAACGAGGCATTTGTTGCATCCAGTGGGGACATAATTACGGATTATAATGACTTATGCTGTCTTTTTACGCGTTGCGTTGCATCACGCCGCGTAAACATAAAACCATGTCTGCATTTGTGATCGGAGAAATGACAAACAACAAGCCCTACTCTACACTGCCCAAAACTCGCGTTTGAATCATCAGTGGCAAATTCTTTAAAGGGGTCATAGGATGCTACACGCACTTTTACAAGTGTGGTAGAAGTGAGTATAATGTTTTGTAATGAATCTTTGCAAATCGCCTTTGCTAATAATGTGCTAATTAGCAAGTTTCCTCAAAAAGGTGTTTTTTACACTACCATTGAGAAATTTTAACCAAACTATGTTACAGACTTTTCATTAAGACCCCAAAGAATCATATCAACTTGTGAAAAATGGGCATCCTATGACCCCTTTAAATATAAAAAACCGTACTTGCAGTCTGTGAGTCAGAACAGCCGGCATTGTAGTCTACTCTACCAGGATCAGGAAACAGTCCTCCATAAAATGTGCTGCACACATCTGAATATTTGGGTTAAACTGTTCTGGAACAGTGTTGTAAATACAACTTAACCACTGATTTCTAGTCGTGTCCTCTTTTGGAAGGCCAAACAAAGTAGTTTCGCTTTCACAACGAAACACACAGCGCCTTCACGACATGGCGGCAGCAACAATACTACAGCGAGAATAAAAGTTACGCCTTCTTTCTTTGCGTGAACATTTGGGCGGCGTTATGCAAATCTTCCCACATCGTGACGTAGACATGTGGGGGTGTTTTAGAACGAGCCGTTTTAGGTAGGCGTTTGTTAATTCTTAACTTTTATAAAGAATATCTCTTTGGATTCGAGACTTTAGTCTTTGCAACTTTACAGATCTTCTTTATGCACCAAGAGCTTGTAACACTCCAAAGAGAAAGGAAACATTTAAATCGCATCATATGAACCCTTTAATATTACTCGGTACTTTTTGTGTAACTAGACTGTGACAAGGACACCTTAATTTTATCTATTCCGTATTTAATCTAAAGTGCATCGATTTTTTAACACTTACGATTCTGAAAAGGGCCCAAAAAGTACAGCTCCAACTAGTACTCCAGCGAGGAATATTGTCTGTGCTCCCCGAAACAAATTTACATTGTCACATACAAGATCGAACTGCAAAACATCATAAACACGTCAGGCATTTATGAAGGCTTTCTTGATGTAAACAGCATATTGTTGCCTAAATCAGCTCAAAGTGAGGTCATTTAAACACATGGTAGTTAAATTACATTGTAGTGTGACCACAAGTCAAATGTTTTCCAAATTATGGGTAACTAAACCCAAGTTACCTTTTCAGCATGTTTATTTGAAACACACCAGTGGTAGTACTTACATCGGTGACAATGGTTGCCTCATAAATAGTATCATTATGCACCCATCCATCAGTGCAAGTGGTGGTTTCATTTAGGCCGTATTCCTGGATAGCAGACAGATCCCAATCCACGGGCACATACATCTGACAGGGACTGAAAGAGCCATCCGAGAGCCTCGGCAGAGTCAGGTTGAGCTGCTCTTCCTTCGTCAGATTGGAACCCACCTGAAGGATCCAGTCAGCGTTGCAATGGTGGTTTGTGTCTGCGTGGTTGAAGACAAGGCTGGATAACTGAAAAGGCAGAATGAGATTTGGAAAGCACAAAGCAAACAAGAGAAGCTTTTGGAAAAGCCCAAAGTCGCCTACAGTTTCTAAAATCTCCCCAAAATTAGCCATGGTGGGCCAGAAGAGAAACAACCCAAGAAAGCTTGAGAAGTTATACTAGAAAACAAAGCAAATTAATGTTTAACTGTATAATCATGTGAATATGTCACAGAAAGTCATATATACAGAGAACAATGGTCACGTTATTGTGGAGAAAGCGTAATGGGTCAACATTCAAATGTTTTTTCAGACAAGAGATTATATATATGTGTGTGTGTGTGTGTATTTGTATAGTGTCTATCTAAGCATGTATCTACGAAAACGTGGCAGCAAAACAATTTTCACTTGCTTGTAAATTTCACAAATATAAAATGTATGTGTGTGTGTGTACATATACATATATATATATACATATACATATACACATATACATATACATATATACA